AATGGGGGACGTCCCCTTAAAATTTCAGCCTCCCAGCATTTCTGGTTCCCGAGTTAGCAGCTTACCCTTAAAAAATTTGGCGGGCTCTTACGTGGGTACCACGCGGAACGACCGCCTATTTTGGGGACAAGGGCCCGCACATGCATGCAGATTAATTTCCCAAAGTTTCAGCCCTGTAGTTCTTGTAGGTCTCGAGATGAAAAGTTGGTACAGACGCGTAGCGCACACACAGACACAAACACATACGCACAGACAACCTTTCGTCAATATGCGTTTTCCGCATTTCATAGCTGCAAAAAACGCATAAAAAGCCAGTGTTTAAAAAAACCCAAAAATGCCACGACCAGAAACTGCTTTCGAGATTTTCCGGTTTTTGCGTGGAGACAGCTGGTGTGACGTGAGCTAGAGTAAGTCGTGCCAAGCCGAAAGTAGTAAGCATAAATGCATAGTACATAAACAAAGAACTCGGAAGAACGCAACTGCTTCAATGGCACGGTGACAGACTTAAGGTAGTTCGATGCGTCCCTTCTACGCCCCTAAATCTGCCGCACTTTGCCTTCTCGCAGCCATGCTTTTAGCTCCCAAAAAATAATGGAAGCTAAAAGCAACTGTCAACAATAGGGATTCTTTTAATGCTGGGCAACCGGCTCACAGTCACACGTTCTGCCCATCGGATTTTACTTTCCTGCATATTTGTAAATGATATCCTGTACGCTGCTCAACTGAAGGAAAGTCTGATTGTTTATATGGCCACGAAGAAATGCTCCAAGCATTCTTTGCTTCAACGGAATTCTCAATCACAGTGCCCGTTTCCCTTCCTTTTTCATCAGTTCTGCATCAAGTACGTTCCTGTTTTCAGCATTAATGGTTTTGGAAGGGTGGATACGACCCTTCGGCTTCGACATTTTGGGACCAGCGATGGCGTGGGATTTACGACTGAGTTTGTGTAATCTATAAATGGGGACTTTAGCGCATAATGGCCAAGAAAGGCGTAGCTGTCAACTTCTTCCAAGTCAACACCACTCCGTGGGCATATCGGCGCTTTGCATCACATTTTTGCCCACATTTTGTTAAATTTTTGTACCTCTTATGGCCTTTAAAAAATACCTTGGGTTTTCGCCAATTTGGGCGTAATCGATGGTATCGATCCGATTCATGACGCGTAAA